GCAATGTAGGCAACAGCGGGGCGACCACATAACCCCCCCCGTCGAACCTCAGATGTCGGAAAGAGGTGGCTGCTTCGGTGTATTGTGACTATACATGCCATCCACCGATACGAGGTGCCAGCACACGCTCCTCCTCAGGCTCTTGAGCCAACAAGTTGCCATCCCAAGCTTTATGAGCATCGCTTCCAAGGATGCGAAAGCCCATGTGCCCCATCCGACTCGACAGGCTTGAGCCTAGCCTCAAGGGCATCAGCAACTACACTACGATCCTCATCCTCTTCCTCCTCCTCCTCTTCCTCCTCCTTATCCTCCCCTTCTCCTCTTGCTCCTCCTCCTCCTCCACCTCCCCTTCATCCTCATCCTTCACTGCACATCCATCCTTCCTCCTCCGCCTCCTCCTCCTCGTCCTCATCTCCACTCCTGCCTCTTACCTACTATCTCCTCCTCGCCCTCGTCCTCCCCCTTCCTCCTCGTCCCCCACGGAGAAGGCCGCCAACCCTGGTGAGCAGCGTGTCCACGATCTGCCGCCGCCCACCCGTGGCGCCGGCGGAGCCTGCCCCGGCCCCCTCACGGCCAGTCCTCCGTGCGTCCCAGCCCTGGTCTGCTGCGGCTACATGTCCGCGGAACGCCTGCTCCTCCTCCAGCTTCCTCCTCCTCCTCCTTCTTCTCCTCCTGCTCCCTCCCCCTTCTCCTCCTCCTCCTCCTTTTCCTCACTCCTCACTCCTTCTCACTCAACCCTCCTGCTCCTTGTCGTCGTCGTCGTCGTCGCCGCCGCCGCCGTTGTCGTCGTGTTCGTCGTCATCGCCGTGTTCGTCCTCCTCCTCCTCCTCTTTTTCTTACTGCTCGTCTTCTTTAATTTGGCTTTGTTGTGAATATGTTGCTTTCGGCGAGTGGACCGGCTCGGTCGGCATTTGAAGTTCGTTGCTGACTCCCTCCTCCTCCTCCTCCTCCTCCTCCTGCTTCTGCCTCCTCGTCCCCCTCTCCATCCCCTCTTGAGTCCTGCTCCTTCTTCTCTACCTTCTCCTCCTTCTCCCTCTTGGACCCTCCTCCCCCTCTTCTCGTCCTCTGCCTCCTCCGTTATCCTCCCCCTCTCAGTCTTCTTCCTCCTTCTCCTTCCTCCTTGGTCCTCCATGCCTACTACGTTTACTCCACTTCCTCCTCCTCCTCCTCCTCCTCCTCCTCCTCCTCCTCCTCCTCCTCCTCCTCCTCCTCCTCTTGCTCCTCCCAAATCCGCCGACCCTGTCGGCGTGTGGAATGGGTTGTTCTTCTCGTCCGTGCTTCCTTCCCTTTCCCACCTTCTCCGTCTCCTTTTCGTTCGTCTCCCCCTCCTCCTCCTCCTCCTTCTCCCCCTCCTCCTCCTCCTCCTCCTCCTCCATCTCTTCCTCCTGCGTAAAATAAATTAGCTCGAAAGGTTTCCCCTTCCCTTTGTTCCCTTCCCGGGCCCGGGGGGGGGGGCCCGGGGGAAGCCCGGGGGGGGGGGTCCTGGGGGGGGGTCCCGGGAGGGGTCCTGGGGGGGTCCCGGGTCAGGATACCACCTCACTCCTCCTCCTCCTCCTCCTGAGCGTCTTTTGCCCCCTTCTCCATCTCCTTTTCGTTTGTCTGCCCCTCCTCCTCCTCCTCCTTCTTCTCCTCCTCCCCCTCCTCCTCCTTCTCCTCCTCCTCCTCCTCCTCACACACTTCCTCCGCCTAACCTGTCACGTTGTCCTTTAGCTCCTTCCTGTGATCACACATCCCGTCGCCATCGACGGCCAAAACCTCAGGGTCGGCGGCACCGGCCGTAAGGCCTTCACAAAATCCTCTTCCTCTTATTCTTCTTCTTCCACTTCCACCTCTAGACGCTCCATCCCAGCACGGGGTCTGTGAACCGTGGGGCGGTTCGACGGGAGCATGCGGAGAAGAGGCGCTCATCCGCGGACCTCCATTCCCCTTCAGTCTCTCTCCCCCTCCACTGTCTTCCACATGCTCCCAGACGCCCCAGGAAGCCTGTCAGGGAGACCTCAAAGCCGAGAAAACCGAAAACCCCAGGTCATCAATTCTGGAACATCCAGAAGCAGGAGGAGGAGGAGGAGGAGGAGGAGGAGAAAAACCACCGAGTAAACCGAAGATGCGTCAACTATGCTGCAATTCACCCTCCCATCACCGGCCCCATTTCATACGTCCCATACAAGTTCTATTCTTCATTACAAGAAGCCCCCGCTTTGAAGACTAACACGGTTGGGCCTGCCGTTTTGGCGAGGGCCCCATGTTGACAAGAGATCGCCTAGAATCTCTTCGGCACATTAATCAAGAAAGCGACAACATATGATCATGTACATCAGCGAAGCGTACAGCGGGATCCCCCTTCGAAAGAGGACCACCCCCCATTCGCGCAACTGTTGTACGGATTGCTCTTGTGGCCATGACCTTCAGGGAAGTGTCAAGCGTCAACACCATTTCTCCCAAAATCGTGCTTGCAATTACGGCCTTTACTTCTGTCCCTAGGAAATTGGATTGGTCCAGCGAGGATTTCTCACGTTGCCGCCTGCGGCCGTCTCGTCGCCGTCTCTTGCCCTGGGTGGGTCCGGCGAAGTTTCGTCACAATGCCGCCCGTGGCCACCCCGTGGCCGTCTCATGCGCTGGGTGGGTCCGGCGAAGTTTCGCCACGATGCCGCCCGTGGCCGCCTCGTGGCCGCTTCGTGCGCTGGGTGGGTCCGGCGAGGTTTCGCCACGCCGCAGTTCACTGCCTCGTGCGCTGGGCGGGTCCTGCTACGTTGATGACCGTGGCCGCCTCGTGGCCGCCTCCTGCGCTGGGTGGGTCCTGCGAGGTCTCGCCACGTTGCTGCCCGTGGCCACCCCGTGGCCGCCTCGTGCGCTGGGTGGGTCTGGTGCGGTTTCGCCACGTTGCCGCCCGCGGCCGCCTCGTGCGCAGGGCGGGTGTGGCGAGGTTTCGCCACGTTGCCACCCCTGGCTTCGTGGCCGCCTCATGCCCTGGGCGTGTCTGGCGAAGTTTCGCCACGTTGCCGCCCATGGCCGCGTCGTGGCCGCCTGTAGCTTGCACCGCGTTTATTATCCGATGGTAAGAAAAATTCTACCACCCTCCCCCCCAGACTTGAAGACCCTCAGCGAACCTATGCAAAACACATAAGATTCTGACCCAATGTCCATCCTACCTGTGCGCTCATACTATCCCAGCCAAGCCGGTATCGCCCCCCCGCTACCTTCTGCAACAGATACTATGCGCGCGCACACACACACTCGTTTATCACAAATCATAAATGTTCAGTAACCCTTTTGCACAAACAGAACGGGACGAAATGCACGCGCGCGCGTCGTCGCGCGCGCATTCCATAATCCTTCAGATACATTCGGCTTCGGAGAGATTTCAAATTCGAGTGTCCAATAAACATATAACAGCACAGGGTTTCGCAACACAGCTTCAACAAAAGTGTGTGCGCGCGCTATTGAGAAGTCTTAAGACAACCTGGAGCTTTTGTTTTATATTTGTCATTTTTACAATATGTTCATAACGTGATACCAAGCGAGCTTCGCGCGCGCATGCCGAAATCGTTCGAACGCTTTTGCGCGCGTGCTGGGGTGGCACGGTCCGCGTCAAACAATATCATGCGAGCCACTCTCGCGCGTCTGCCGCGTGCGCGCATTTCGAAATCCTTTCAAAACCCGCATTACCGACGCGAAAACGCCGTCATCGTTGTCGGCATGATCGGCATCAGCGCCGTCACTGGTCGTGCCGTCGTCGCTGTCAGCATAGTCACCAACATCACTACCATCATCATCACCATCATCATCATCATCACCATCATCATCATCATCATCATCAGCATCATCATCATCATCATCGTGTCTACACTTGTCGACATTGCAATGATACCGCGCCCGCCCAAGTCGCCAACTCGCACTCAAGTGCCCGCCTGGATGTGCCGAGCGGTCAGCACCACCGCGGCCGCGTAGGTCGCGCCAAACTGCCTGGCCGCTGCGCGCGCGCATGCGCGGGCTGGCGCGGCCGCAAGGATGCACCAGCCAGCGCCAAACACTCATCGCAATCGCCGCCGCATGAGGTTAGCAAACCAAATTGAGGGTGGGTGGGTGGGATGTTTGCGGAAGCGGTGGAGTAGACAACTCACTGCGAACAGAGATGAACTTCACCACGCAGCTTACACCACATAGCTTGCATCACACAATTTCTACATCCGCTGTGCAATAACTTATTGTTTGTATTCCATTTTGGCTGGCATGAACAAAAGCAGCCCTGGACCAATCCGTGCAACGCTACATGTTTTGAAGTTCCTGGGCTTCAAAGTCAACGACGTCTTCAGCAAGAACACCATATGGAAAACGAACAATCCTCCATCCTCCTAAACGTTGCAGCAAGCAGCGAATTCGCACAGCGCCGAGGCGATAACCCCATTTAGGGAAACACAACTACCAATCTCTAGTGCGGTTGTAATGTTTTGTAACGAACGTGTGCGGCGCTAGAACGAGAACTCCGACTTGGAAAGGAGCCGCACTCCGCCCGTGAATAGATTACAACATGTTCGAAGAAATGTGAGCGGCGCTGGGACGAGAGCACCATGTCGATCCCCCTTCCCCAAACTGAAACTGCTATAGAATTGTGCGACGAGTGTGAGCGTCGCTATTGCGAGAGTCACATTTTTAAAACTGTCCCCTATGAATCCCCGAAGCTGTTGCGAACCTTTACGACGTGTGTGTGCGGCACGAGGGCGAAAACCACATTTTGAAAACTGCCCCCATACCTGAAAGTGTTGCAAGTGTTGAAGACTAACGTGCCCGAGGCTATATCGAAAACCACATCTTTAAAAGGAGCCACCCTTCATACTTGAAAACGTGGCAAAGTTTGAAACGAGTGTGTGCGGCGCGAGGGCCAAAACCACATGTTGAACAGGAGCCGCCCCCTATCCTTGAAGTTGTTGCATGTTTCAGACGAGTGTGCGCGGCGCGAAGGCGAGAGCCACATTTAGAACAGGAGCCTCCCTCCATCCTCGAAGTTGCTGCATGCTTGAGAGACACGTGTGCACGGCGCTATGCGAGAGCCACAAGTTGACCTCCGTCCATGGTTGAAGCTGTTGCAGCTTGTAAGCTTCAGGGTCACAAGTGGTAAGGAAGTCTCAGGCGAAACGCCGGGCCCGACTTGCCGACACCTTTAGGGGTGCGACAGGGATGAATTACTTATTGGGAAAAAGGGGTGGAGGATGAGGAGGAGGAGGAAAAGGAGGAGAAAGAGGAGGAAAACGGTGTAGGAACCAGGAGGAGTGCGAGGAGGAGGATCCGGAGGACCTGGAGGCAGCGGCGCGTCGGATCTCTTGTGGCACTGGAGCAATGCCCTCGGCGGGCCTGGCACGAGTCCGACGGCGGAGCGCAGTGCCCGCAGGACAAGGAGCCCGACGGGTCCAGGAAGGGCGCGGGACCCTCGGAGTGGAGCCCTCTTTGCAGCGCTGCCAGGGGACAGGCCGCAGCCCTGCTGAAGGAGCGCGCGACAAGCCTTGCCGCTCGAAGCGAGGGGCATAGGAGGGCGGAGGCGGCACGGGCGGCGGGCACGCAACCGACGGCGGCGGAGGAGAAGGCAGGCGAGTGGCAAGCGGCGGGGGGGGGGGATACCAGGGGATCTGTCGACCACTGTCCCAGGCTACGTAGGGTTTTAGAATGGGCCAAACATTTGTCGCCCAATCCTGGGGTCTACGATGGGGGGGCGCCCATTCTCGCTGGGGGTGCGTCCAGATAGTCCCGAGGGGGCGTATCCCAGGGTTTCCCTCATTTTCTGGGCAGCTTCAATTTTCGTCGAAAAGTCGGGGGTTGGGGGGAGACAAATCGCCTGCGAGGTGAGGCTCTGGCGCCGCTGAAAGGGGTGCCTCCTCCTCCCTCCTCCTCCTCCTCCTCCTCCTTCTCCTCCTCCTGGTGAGGCTCCGGCGCTCCCGCTGCGCCCTCGCAAGGTGGATCCCCCCCCACACCCGCCCTGTGTGCGTGGAGCGGCGGGGCCCCGTGGCCGAGCGTTGTGCTGCGCCGCTCCCTCGGCCTCGGCCCCTCCTCTTCCCTGGCCTGCTGCCCTCCCCTTCCCCTCCTCTTCCCCTCCTCGTCTCTCTTCCTCTTCCCCTCCTCTCCCCCTCCTCTTCCCCTCCTCTTCCCTCCTCTTCCCCTCCTCTTCCCCTCCTCTTTCCCTCCTCTTCCCTCCTCTTCTTCCCCTCCTCTTCCTCCTCTTCCCCTCCTCTTCCCTGGCCTGCTGCATCTGCCTTAGGAGAATAGTTAGTTGTCGTGTTGGGAGAAACATGCGGATGCAATGCAAGATACCTTCGACCGCCCACGGGTAATGATATCCTCATTTCTCCCAGCCCCCTCCTCTCAACCTCTTCCTTGGCCTGCTGCATCTGTGAGACGAAGCCAAGACGAGGATACATTTGGGGGTGGATACATCGGGAATCGCTGAGATCCTGCGGCTCTGGAAGATGTCTCGGGCGCCGCGGCCTCTCCGAGCGTTCTGGAAAGCTCTGAGAGCGTTCCCGAACGATCTGGAAGGGATTTATCTTCGTCCTAGCCCCGTCCGAATCTGTCTTCCCTCAGGAGTGACCCTGTGGCCACGCACCAGAGGGGTGGCGCGAGGGGGGCGACCTGCTAAGAGGGCCAGGGGGCTTCAAAGAGGACAAGGGGGCTTCTTAGACGTCCTCCCCTTTAAGGCGCCTTCTGAAAAGCTTATGAGCCCTTCTCAGAGGGCCCCTGCCTTCTGAGAGCCGCCCAGCGCCATCTGTAGATGAAGGAGAAACGACATAAGCATAAGCTTTCGGAGCTCTGCGCGGATTTCTTGGATCGGCGCTGGGCACTCCACTCTGGCGCGGGTGCCATTCTAGCGCGTGCCCCTCAGCCACTTTCACCACGGCCAAGGGTCAAGACGGTAGAGCCCGACGCTGGCGCGGGAGGCACCTGCCTTCCAGGCCACTCAGGGAGAGGTCCACCCTGGCGCGGGCCCCCCCCCCCCCCCCCCGCCCCCCCCCCCCCCCCCTGTACGAAGAGCTGGTGGAGGGCCGCGCGACGGGGGACCCCCGGCAGCCCCGTGTTGGGCGGGTCGCTGCGGGGTGGGTGCTCCTCGGTTTGGAGCGGCGGGGTACTGGCCGGCGTGGGCTCCTGGGGCGGGCCAAGGCTGGGGAAGCGACGGGCAGGATACTGGGGGCCAGGGCAGGGCCAGGGGCCAGGGCGGGGCAACGGCGGGGACGAGGCCCGAGAGCGGCCCAGCCCGGCCGGCTCCTCCTCCTCCTCCTCCTCCTCCTCCTCCTCCTCCTCCTCCTCTTCCTGCCTTCTCCTCCCTCTCCTCCCGCCTTTCCCTCGCCCCCTCATTCTCCTCCTCCGCCTCCGCCTCCTCCTCCTCCTCCTCCTCCTCTTCCACCTTCTCATCCTCGTCTGCCGCTCCCCCAAGCCCCAGGTGCCCAGCGCGTCTCCGGAGTCCAGCAGCAGCTCCAGGGAGCAGACCAGCTCCAGTTCCTCCAGCGCCCTGAGGGCCTGCGTCGGGCCAGGGAGCGGCCCAGCGCTGAAGACACGGGCCACGACTCCGAGGGGCCTCCGACTATCTCATTCTGGCCCCCTTGCTCTTTCTCCTGCTCTTCACCCTTCTCCTCCTCCTCCTCCTCCTTCTGAAGTTCTCCCAGCTCTTCGTTCGCACTTCTCCATCTTCACGGCCCCCGTTCCAAATCTTCCTTTTTTCCCAACCATCCTGTGGTGTTGGGTCCTCGTTTTGAAGAAACGGTCCCCGCGTTCTCCCTCCTCCTCTCAACTGTCCGCATGCGTCCCGCACACCCAGAACAGCGTTCCGTGGCCTTCCTCCCCTCCCCACCCAGTACAGCGTTTCGTGGCCCCATAGGGAGCCCCACCGAAGGTCCCAATGCTACCGTCCGCATGCGTCCTGACACCCTGTACAACGTTTCGTGGCTCCATAGGGAGCTCCACCGAAGGTCCTAGTGCTACCGTCCGCATGCGTCCCGCACACCCAGTATAACGTTTCGTGGCCCTCCTCCCCCTGCCAGTACAGAGTGTCGTGGCCCTATAGAGAGCCCCACCGAAGGTCCCAGTGCTACCGTCCGCATGCGTCCCGCACGCCCAGTACAGCGTTTCGTGGCCCCATAGGGAGCTCCACCGAAAGTCTCAGCGCTACCGTCCGCATGCGTCCCGCACACCCAGTACAACGTTTCGTAGCCCTCCTCCACCTCCTCCCTGCGTTTCACCCACCCATAACAACGTTTCGTGGCCCCATAGGGAGCCCCACCGAAGGTCCCAGTGCTACCGTCGCATTCGTCCCGCACACCCAGTACAGCGTTTCGTGGCCCCGTAGGGAGCTCCACCAATGCTACCGTCCGCATGCGTCCCGCACACCCAGTACAGCGTTTCGTGGCCCTCCTCCCCCTCCTCCCTGGGTTTCATCCATTCAGTAAAACGGTTCGTGGCCCCATAGGGAGCCCCACAGAAGGTCCCAGAGCTACCGTCCGCATGCGTCCCGCAAACCCAGTACAGCGTTTCGTGGCCCCATAGGGAGCCCCACCGAAGGTCCCAGTGCTACCGTCCGCATGCGTCCCGCACACCCGGTACAGCGTTTCGTGGCCCTCCTCCCCCTCCTCCCTGCGTTTCACCCACCCAGTACAACGTTTCGTGGCCCCATAGGGAGCCCCACCGAAGGTCCCAGTGCTACCGTCCGCATGCGTCCCGCAGGCCCAGTGCAGCGTTTCGTGGCCCCGTAGGGAGCTCCACCGAAAGTCTCAGCGCTACCGTCCGCATGCGTCCCGCACACCCAGTACAGCGTTTCGTGGCCCTCCTCCCCCTCCTCCTTGCGTTTCACCAATCCAGTACAGCGTTTCGTGGCCCCATAGGGAGCCCCACCGAAGGTCCTAGTGCTACCGTCCGCATGCGTCCCGCACACCCATTGCAGCGCTCCGTGGCCCCATAGGAGGCCCCACCGAAGTCCGCATGCGTCCCGCAAACCCAGTACAGCGTTTCGTGGCCCCATAGGGAGCTCCACCGAAGGCCCCAGTGCCCCCGTCCGCATGCGTCCCGGAAGCCCAATTTGGCATTTTCACACACCCAGCAGCGTTTCGTGGCCCCATAGGGGGCTCCACCCATGGCCCCAGTGCCACCGTCCGTATGCGGCCGGGAAGTGTAATTTGGCATTTTCACCCGCGCAGTGCAGCGTTTCGTGGCCCCATAAGGGGGCTCCACCGAAGCCCCCAGTGGGACCGTCCGCATGAGTCCCAGAAACCCAATCTGGCATTTTCACTCACTCAATAGAGAGCTTCGTGGCCCCATGGGGAGCTCCACCGAAGCCCTCAGTAGGACCGTCCGCGTGCGTCCCGGAAACCCAATTCGGCACACCACCCACACAGTACAGCGTTCCCCCCCGCCCAGTGCAGCGCTTCGTGGCCCCATAGGGAGCTTCACCGAAGCAGATATTCACAATTACGGTACCCACAACTGCAGATGGTTGGGACCTTCGCCAGGATGATTTCCTCCTCCTCCTTTTCCTCCTCCTCCTGGCCGAGGGGAACGAGAAAGAAAAGGGCGGAAGAGGATGAGGGGGCGGGGCGAATTGGGCGCGCCGTGTGTGCCAACCTACAGCCGGCCACATGCTTGCGCCCAGGTTGGGGGGACTGTGGTTGCGAACGGCCACAGTCATTATTATCAGTCGCCATCAGTCATTATCGTCATCACCATCATCATCAGTATCCTCATCCTAGTCCTCATCCTCATCCTCATCACCACCACCTTCATCACCACCATCATCCTCGAACTCATCCTCATCACCATCACCACCGCCACCGCCATCTATCATCACCATCACCATCACCAACATCATCATCATCATCATCATCATCATCATCATCAACAACAACATTACCGCCATGATCAACACCAGCATCATCATCGTCGCCGCCATCATCAACACCGCCATCATCATCATCATCATCATCATCATCATCATCATCATCATCATCAACATCGATACAATCAGCCGTGTCAGCATTACCATCACCACCATCATCATCATCGTCGTCACCATCATCATCTTCATCCTCTTGCTCATGATCATCACCATCATTATAGCCACCATCATCAGTAACGCCATTATCACAATCACCATCACCATCACTGCCACCTCAACCATCCTCACCACCCACATCATCATATTCATCATCGTCGTCGTCATCAGCATCACCATCGCCATCGTAAGAATCTCCATCACCGCCACCAAGCCATCAACATCATTATCACCATCACCATCACCATCACCATCATCGCCACCATCATCACCATCACCACCACAATCACTGTCACTACCATCACTATTGTAGTCGCCATCCGCATCAACAGTATCAGCATCATCATCATCATCATCATCATCATCATCATCATCATCATCATCACCATCATCATCATCATCATCATCACCATCGTCACCAACACCATCACCATCATCACCATCACCACAACTCTTATCATCTTTACCATCATCGTTCTTGTCGTCCTCATCATTCGCTTCATCATCACCATCACCACCATTACCATAATCATCGTCATCATCACCCGCATCACCATCATCGAGAGAGCGTGATCCACCGCCGCTTTACTGTGGAAAATTGCCGCACTTTTCCTCCGGAACCCAGGGTTCCCCCCCCCTCCGAAAATCCCCCCCCCCCCCCCTGCTGGAACCTCCCCCCCCCTCCCCCGGCAAACCCCCCCCCCTCCCCTAACCCCCCCCCCCTCCCCCTCGAAAACCTGGGGGGGGGTCACTACCGGTTCGAACCCCCCCCCCCCCCCCTCGAAAACCGGAAAGGGGGGTCACTACCGGTTCGAACCCCTCCCCACCCACCCCTCTCACCGACAGCAAACGACTCCCGGTCCCTACCACCGTCCTCGTCCTCACCACATCCCCCACTGTTGTTCCCAGCGCCACTGTCCCCACCACCAGTGTCCCCACTGGTTCCACCACCGCTCCACTGTCCCCACCAGTGCCACCACCACTGTCGCACTGTCCCCAGTGTCCCCACCACTGTTCCCACCACGGTTCCACTCTCACAACTTTCTCCACGGCCCCAACCACTGCCCGACTATCCCCACTGTCCCACTGACTCCTCCGCTGTGCCACTGAGCTGTCCCACTGTTCCCAGCACTGTCCCCACCAGTGTCCCCACTGTACCTCTGTCCCATTGTCCCACCGCCGTCCTCGCCACCGCCTTCACCACTGTCCCCACCAACACTGTACCCTCCACTGTCCTACTGTTTCCACCACATTCCCACTGTCCCCACACCACTGTCCCCACCACACCACCACCGTCCCCACCACTGTCCCACTGTCCCCACTGTTCCCACCACTGTCCTCACCATTGTCCCCACCACTACCGTCCCCACCACTGTCCCACTGTCCCCACCACTGTCCCGCTGTCCCTTCACCACTGTCCCCACCACCACAGTCCCCACCACTGTCCGCACCCCCCCTCCATTTTCGAGGGGGGGGGGGGGGTTCGAACCGGTAGTGACCCCCTCGGTTTTCGAGTTGGAGGGGGGGGGGGGGGGTCGGGTTCGAACCGGTAATGGCCCCCATTTTTTCATGATGAACTGGGGGGGGGGGAGGGGTTCGAACCGGTAGTGACCCCCCTGGTTTTCCGCCAGCAGCGGTAGAACACGCTCTTTCCCATCATCAGCACCAGTATCATCATCTTTATCATCGCCATCATCATTGTACTTAACGTCATATACCATCATCGTCATCGGCAGCAGCAGCAGCACCACCACCATCATCATCATCTTCATCCTCATCCTCATCCTCATCAGCACCCCCATCGTCATCCTCATCATCGTTCCACCACCATTACCACGGCCAGTACGGTCACCATCACCATAATCATATCAATCGCCATCACCATGACCATCGTCGTCCTCATACTGTAGATTCTCCTGCTCGTCCTCCCTGCTACTCATCCCCCTCGTCAGCCGCCTGCAGCTCGCCCTCCGTCCTCCGCCCGCCCGCTCCTCCTGCTCCCCACCATGCGGGCAATTTGCGAACGGGCCAGGGGGTCGTAAGCACCCTCTCCCGAGACGAGCCATAGCAGAGCATCAGTACACCCGAACTGCGAAACCAGCGCGCACGTGCCCAAGGACGGCGGGAGGCCAGAGCCCAAAATCCGAGGCTGCCACACCCCCCCCCCCGCCCCCTATGGGCCCCGAAGGTGCCATCCATCTTCCTTGTGCGCCATGCAGTCAGCTCGCCATCTCTCGAACGTCCACTCCCTGTGCATGCTTCGGTTTTGTGCGTATGTTTCCCCAAACCATCCTGTGGTGTTGGGTCCTCGTTCCGAAGAGACAGCGGCCCGCGTTCCTCACCTCACTTCCAGCGCTCCTCCCCCTCCTCACTCCTCATATCCCTGCCTCTCCTCTCCCTGTGCCGTCACCACCATGCTGACGGCCATGCCGCGTCGAACGCACCGGATCTCCTCTGACCTCCGAAGTTAAGCGGCGTA